AACAATAAGTCGCACCGCATCAAGTCGGCATTTGGGCCTATATTGCTGACAACCACGATACGTTAGATCGTCGCAAGTAAGAATGTAGGTATGTTAAAAAATGCTAGAATGATTATATGTAAATACACAAGAAGCAGCTGAAGAGGTGATACTAATGATAATCATGACATCCACGACTTTTTCTGCCACCTTGCCGGTACCACTTTAGACATGAGGTGTAATATTTGACAGATTTCATGGCGGGGAAAGTTAATTTGTTAGAAAAGTGTAGAGGTTAATGTTTCTTTCAGAAATATAGGTGATATTTTATATTAGATTACAAATGGATAAACCAAACTACGGATATTCCTAAAAGCAGAATTTAAAAAAAAAAGTTAAAAATGTCAAAAACATGAAAGGACACAGCGTACGATAGCGTACGTACAATAGAAACCGAAAAACTTTCATTTAAAACGCAACTTTTTAATGCTGATGACATAGTGTGACCATTTCCGTGATAAATAAAATAACCTCAGTCTCAACTAGAGACATCTGGTCTCTAGTTAACGTAGCGTAATTAAAACACTTTTACGAGCGGAAAAATGAAATATTTCTATAAAACTTATATAGGAATACCATTAAAAGATGTTAGTTGCAGTCAAATAAACACCTTATTTGTATAACCTTAATTTTAACTAAAACTATCAACCGACTAAGTTTTAAAATTCTATGTAATATTTTTTAATATTACCTAATATTTTCTAATACTCAATTGCCTCTTGATATGGACTTACTGCATTTTTTCTTTTATATTTCACCACTACAATGAAACAAGCACTATGTACATATGTATACATATACATAGAATAATTGACCATGACATTTGTAGTGCTTATAACAAGACTTATTTGTGTGTACATTCGATAGCAGAGTACAGTGGTGCCTCGCAAAGCGAACTTCCTATTCGTTCATTTCATGATTCATGCAACGAACTTCGTTTCACACAACAAAGTCGCCCGAGCCTCCACGATCGCTGCCGATGTATTGCATCCTCCCGCGCAGGCACTGCAGTCGTTAGTCACTGCGCTTAACTTACGCACGTATCACGGCAGTAGAGGATGTAAAGGAGCTTATTGAGGAACACGAAGAACAGCTGATAACTGAAGAGCTTCAAGCACTTCTGGTCCAGCAACGGGACAATGCTCAAAGGGAAGCGTCATCTGATAACGAGGAGCAACAATCAACCAATCCCAACTGCTGACATCAAGAACATCCTGGTCAAATGGAAAGCAGTTCAGGAGTTTACCAATGCCCACTATCCGGATTCAGCCGAAGCCAACAGGATCAACGATCTTTACTCCGATTCTCTTGTCCGTTATTTCCGGCAGATGTTGAATAAAAGAGAAAAACAAACTACTTTGGACAGGTTTTTCATGAAACCATCGGCCAAAAAGCAGAAAATGGATGAAGATGTGCAAGATTCGGTAGACTCTACTTAGTCTGTCTTAAAATTAAAAAATGTGTTTTTTTTTAATTATGTTTTTTTATGTCATCTGAGCATATTTTATGCTACAGAACGAATTATTTTTTTAACATGTATTGTTATAGGAAAACGCGTTTCACATAACGAACTTTTCGCATAACAAACTTGCTCCTGGAACGAATTAAGTTCGTTGTGTGAGGCACCACTGTATATAGTCTGGTCGCTTAGATACGGTCGCCTGTGTCGCGCCATATACGCTGCGTGCGGCGTACACCCGCAGGAGAATTTGGTAATTTTAAAACGAAGCGTCGTTGTCACAGGTTATTTGTTACCTAACTTGTGTATATTATTTATATTCGTATTTCATTACAAAAGCCATAAGAATTATAAAATACTATTTTATTCTTGGAAATACATTTATTTAATAAAAACAAAAAATAATAAAATAAAAGTAAAATAATAAGTGCGCCTCCGGGTGTACCGACACTATCTGAGCGAACAGACTATAAATATACATCCAAGTAAATAGACTAATCTTTTTAATCCGTTATTCATTATTGTTATAAAAATTGCACTTTACTCACTTTAAACATTTTAGGGCGACGGTACGCGTAACTTACCGTTTAAGTTATCCTAATACGTATAAATAAGAAGGCCAAGTTCTTACAATCATGGTCGACGTAATTCGTAAAAATTATTGCAATTTTAATAATTAAATATATTAATTTAATAATTACTAATTCAAGTAAATTCAAAAAATAATATTCATTATTCTAGTATTATTATCATCATGATTAAGCGGAATTCGAAATTTAAAGTTACTACTTTAAAAAAATGGCGGCGATACTAAACCCACTGATTGATTCGTTGTTCCTTCCTTCTATGTTGGGCTGAGGTGCAAACAACGAATTAAGAGTTCGAAAAACAAAATAGTTTTATTGCATAAAAAATAAATCTTCGGGAACTAGCCCCACCAAAATTGTCGGAAGAGATTTAAAATTTAAAAGTACTGAAATGGAAGGTGTACACGGAAAACTTTCGACATTAACTTGTAACTATTATAACTTTTATGGTTTTTTGAGTTATCTAAGAAATATAAAAAATATTAAAATAGTCATCGTATGGTAACCAAATTGCATAAATCAGGGACCCATCTTGTGAATGTGGCTTTTTTTTAATAAATGTGTGTCGATTTTAAGCAATATTTTATTACATTCATGTGAAATGTAAAATGAAACATTTTTTAAACATAATATATAATTTTAGCTGGTAAAAACTTAATTTTTTTTCCTTTAAAAAAATTAAACAATCTTTTTGTTAGATCATAATGCAATTTTATAAATAAAAAATTACTTTACTGCGGATGCTTTCGGATTTATCAATGGGGCAATTTAATATAAAATTTTGACCTATCTCGTCCCGTATGTGTCATAACATTTAAAAATTTACTATGTGGTCGAGGCTAGTTTTAAAGCAGTAATTTACAACCCGTTTCGTGTTCGCGTAGTGAGGTGATGAGGATGATTCTACAACCTTTTCTGCCACCAGGGCGGCGCCACTTGGGAATGATGTGAAATATTTGAGATTTAATGAAAAAGTTAAATTGTTGGGAAATATAAAGGTTAATGGATCTTTCAAAAAATTAGTTTTATTTTATATTAACTAGATTAAAAATGGATAGACCAAACTGGGTATTGTTAAAACTAAAAGAATTAAAATAGAGTTAAGATATGCGCAAAACATTAAAAAGCAACCACTGAGGCACTGATTTATATATATAAGTACATATTAGAAACCGAGAAACTTTTATTTGAAACGCAACTTTGCACTTTGGTGACACTAACAAATAACTACACCTCAGTCCCAACTAGCGACATCTGGTGAGCGGAAACTTATTAGCCCTCATTGACCTAACTTGCCAAGCGAAGCGGTTATTGTAAATTTTTCGACACAAGTCTAGGTTCAGCAGTATAGATAATAAATATGATGAAGGCACTTACATAAGCAATAGGTAAGTTCTAAAAAATCGATCACACGTCAATTTTAGGGTCCTAAACAACTTTTGGTATATAGTGGAAAGACTTGGCATAAATTCGTATGAAACTGATGAGAATACATCTAAGCTAAAATTTAACTACGTAGTTTTTCAAATAATGAAAAAGTGGCTTATAAGGCTTCCATTGCTTCTATGAATCTTAACTCGCAGGCAATAGAATTCATAATGTCTTGGCACAGCTGCGTAAGGCGATCAGAGTTAACGAAATCAAAGAAAACTTTTATTTATTAATATCATTTAATTTTATACAAAGAAATAGTTAAATTATTGACGTTTATACAACTCATATCACTCAATATGAGTATTTGAGTTCGAAGACCCCTTACATATTTTGTAAGCCTATCGCGAACTAAAGCTTAGTTCTTGCTAAAATCACGATAGAATTTTTTTTTAATAATATTCAGCATGATTAACAATAGTTTTAATACAGATATTTACAGCTATTATGGGTCAGCATAAAGATTAAAAATTAACCTCAAATATTATTTAAATAATTATCAGTTGCTAGTCAGCGCGAAGTTATTTGCTTTGCAAATAATTATTATACAATGTTAAATACATAAATTATAACTACAATTACTATTTATTTCAGTTGGTTCAATATTTAAAAAACTAACGGATTTAAAAGGATTGCCTAGAAGTGATTATAAGTTGTCAAGGGTTTAATTTTTCAAGCAACTTCAAGTCACTTCGAATAACTGCAAATTGTCTCTAGTAACCGCAAGTAAATTAGAGCAACCGCAAGGCACTTTATTTAAACGTGATTTAGACTACGAACGGGCAAATTAATTTTTAATTTTTTGAATAGAATAATGTTAAAAACGAGCACACATTCCACCTGATGGTAAGTGGATGCTGTGGCATAGGCCATAGGATAAATGTAGATGTATATAGATACATCTACATTTATCCTCGATTAAGAATCAAAATGCAGATGCGTTGTCACCCCTGAGAACTGAGATAAAATGCCTCGTTTCCAGTAAAAAGGGTCTCCGGTTCTCTACACTCACCATACGAAATACAGCAGCCTTAAGTTGCTATTTTAAGCTGGTATTCTGTGAGAGCGTGGTTCAACCACGGCCGAGCCGACCCATTCGTGCTACAACCATAATATAGAGACGGAGATCAAAAGAATTAATAATAGAAACGACCGACGAAAAAGTTGAGCAAGTGTATAATGGCTGGCTTCTTGCCGCGGTGGTATAAAATTTTATATAAAAAAAAATAATACACTGGTAGCATTTTTCTTTACTGCTAGTGTGTTCAAGCTAAGTGCGGTTTTGGTACGCACGTATTAAAACATATTTTAACGTAAGTATACACGTACACAAAAATACGTTTGTGTGAAATTTGCGTGTGAACACTCGTTATGTTCCAAATTAGATATTGTGATGCCGACAAAATAGAGGATAACTGGGTATGTTTGGTTTGGTAAATCCCTTTCAGGAACAGCTGTACAACATACTGGAGAGCTCAGACAACTCACTGGCAAAGACTGCTGAAGAAAGAGTGGGCGTAGGTCATTGGTCTGACGTTCGGATGAGGCTGAAACGAAAATAAATTTGTAAAAGTAGGTACAATATAATATATAATTAGAGAGTTTCCATAAATTTTGTTTTTCATTTATTTATCTAAAACATATCAAATTTATTATATATAATATTATTTACATAAGGGGGATTTTTGCCATACTTGACACATTTGGCAGGCGAGTTGGCAGTTTTGAAGTGAAAACTTCTATAGAATTGTAATTCGAAACTCAATGAAACAAAAACGACATGAAAAAGACAAACATATACATCTATAGGATTCAGCCTGCGAGAGAATGAGATATAATATAATATTATATTAGTCGTGTATAGGCCATGTAGCTTCTATTTTACGTACCGCCTTGAGAGTTAATTTTTTTTTTCTTAAAAATGACATTACAACGATAAACTTTAAAATCATTTGAAAGTTTAATTTTCTGAAAGTTTCACTTCTGTCGCGTGGGAACTGCACACATGTTTTTTAAGTTTCTTGATGTTATTAAAAGACTGCTGTTTTACGACACCCAATGGACGATGTGGGGTAGTGGATATTATTGCACCGCCACTTCACGGTCAATAAGCTAAATTCAAATTTAAATATAAAATTAGTAAAAAAAAACTAAATATAATATATAATCACTAGCTGATATCCGCTCGCTTTGCTGGGCGCACAATAATAGACGATAATAACGTAGATATAAAATATCAAGAATTTTTTTTATGGGACTTGTAAGATTAAAGTGAAAGTATTAAGATTAAGTTACAGCATATATACGTCCCAGTGCAGTGTAAAGGGTTCCTCTCACTGTTGAGAGGGTTTTTAGGGAAAAGAAGCGTCCGCGGCTCTGCCCAATTGCGTGTAGGCGGACTTCACATGTCTTTGAAATATTTTTTCTTTTTTATTTATAAGGAGAATAAGATTATTTATAGACAATTAGGATAATAATAATGAAGATAGATTTTATTATAGTCCGTTGCTAATGTGATAGTAGAATTCTGGTGAGATCCATTACAACCTATAAAAGTCCAGTGAACATAGGCCTCCCCGATATATTGTCTCATAGGGGGATCTTGCCATAGTCAACACGCTTGGCATGCGGGTTGGCAACCGCAGTTTTTTATTATTTTGAATTGTTATAAGGAAGATGCTGCTGCCCGTCTCCTGTTTTAGTTTCCCTCGATCGCCTCTTTCTACACCCACGCGCTGATATGGGGTAGTGGATATTCTTTCACCGCCACTACTCGGTTGGTGGGATATTACGTTTTGAAGTTTAACATTTAGTTTCTTAATACCATCTAAATGTATCAGTATTGCTTATCTGCCAATGCGTTTTTACATTAATATCTTATTTTAGATTACAAAATATTATCAATAATGCTAAAACATGGTGCAGATGAGGAACGATTACCACAAAACGATTGCAGTCTGAGTTACACACATATGCGATTATAAAAAGATACAATAAAATCACTCACCACAGCCTCATATGTGGTAAATTTTGGCTCCAAGTCCTTTCCATACATTGTGATGAATGCGCCGAGGTTGCCCATCGTGTCGCTGAGAAATTAAAAAAACTAATTACAGTTAAAGATAATAAAATTATTATTTTTACAGCATGCATTAATCACCGGTAATAATTTATCATTGGAAGAAATATTTTCATAATGATATTTTTAAAGAAAGGCAACCATATATGACGTTTAATTTTATTATTACATAATTTATGAACACATATAACCATAAATTTCCTTTTAAACAGAGATACAGAGACAATAAAGACATCAAAAATATTGACTGAAGTTATACAATGATTGAGTTAATAAAACTAAATATTTATTTTATTAAATTATTCCTTAGTTCGATTTTTTTGCACACCCTACACCACGCATTTGAAGTTTGTGCGCAATGCTAAGAGGTATGTTATTGTAAGTCCTATATTATAGTGTTTAATTATGACAATCTTCACTATCAAATTTATACTGACCAATAATTGGGCGCCGAGAACACTGTAATGCACTTCCCGTCGTGTGCAACCTCGTAGCCGTCGTTCTTGACCTCGTGACTCCTGATGATGTAGTCGAGTCCGTTCTTTTGCAAAAAGTTTTCTGTCACATCGGGCCCAAATTGGCAACCGACTCCGCGTTTCGATCGAGCCCGACCTAGCATCGGCTGTGGATCCGACCAAAGCAGCTCGCACATTATACCTATGAATAGTGAAATTAAATATCGTACTTTAGTCATTTCTATCTTCATCAATCCATAAAGACCACAGATGGATAAGTCGACGATTGTAGTATCAAACCAACAATCTACATGGTAGAGCCATACTGCAGCTTTATTATGGTTGTAGCACGAATGGGTCGCACGAGTGAGCGCAGTCCTTTCCTGGTCTGGTTGACCCATTTACTGCAGAAATAAATCAGTTGCAGAGTGGCTATACTATGTATAAGTATAGGTGTCACGTAGAAAGTTTCCTTTTTTATTAAAATAATTTGTATTTGTTACCAATCATCATTAACGACTATCACAAGTCAACAGCAGAATTTAGGCTTTCCCCACAGGCTGCCTCCCAGAGGGGATGTTTTGCCATAGTTGACATGCTTGGTAAGCAGGTTGGCAACCACAGCTTTTTTTATTATTTTTAGTTATCATAATAGATGCATGCATACAACAGCCACAAGATGATATAGGGTATTCATAATTTTTTACACCGCCACTATGTAATATAAAATAGAGGCAATTTCTAGGTAAACTCAACCATATCTACATATATACATCTGTTGGTCTGAAAGTAATATAGTCAAACAAATAAAGCCTTACCATCCTCCGGGGGCTGTTTATTCCTATCGACCTTCTGTATATCCTCCAAAGTGACGTCATCACTGGAGAACAATCCACCATGCATCACCAGTACGCGGTTGTTGATGCAGTGAGCCAATGGTAGCCAGTTGTATACCTCCGTGAACAGATCGGCCATTTGGGCCGTGTACTTGAAGGTCACCTCGCCGCGGAACCCGTACATGCGGTTCATGTCCAGGGTTTCGTGGTTGCCTGGAAAACATGTAGACTCAATTTATTTTAAGACATTGGTGACTTTAGAAGAGTCTATTAATTAAGTGGAACTTTTAACTGGCATATGTTAGTTGTGGAAAGAAAAACATTAAGGGCTGTGCCAGCCTCTCGGCATTCTATAGGATACCATCCCGAGTGTGCAAACAAATGACATGATTTAATTTCTCCCTCTCTTTCTACACGCTTGGCGGATCTCCAACTGTTTGTTTTCGATTTTAAATTGATATTTATTTAGAAGATGCTGCTGCCATCTCCTGTTTCATTTTCCCTCTGTCGCCTATTACGAAATCCACGGGAAAATATAGGGTAGTGGATATTCTTACACCGCCACTACACAGTATCTCTATAGTTATATTCCTTTTTTTATAATTGAGGGTATATTTCATATGGGTTTATTGCACGCACGCACGCAAGCAGGCATAGAGTGCAACGAGTTATAGTTATTTCGTATAGTTTTTAACAGACTTCAAAAATGAGAAGGTTCTCAATTCGAGTGTATGTTTCTTTTTTGTATGTATGTTATGCGATATCTTTACAGATTGTGAACTAATGTTGATGATTTTTTTTTAATTAAAGAGGTTATACTTTAAGGGTAGTCCCATATAAATTTGGAGAAAAAACTTCCCCCCTGAAGGTATCAAATAAATAACTTCTTTTTTAGCAATTTGAAGTTTTTTTTTGCTGTTAAAAAAAAACGTTACCCCCACACTAGGATTTTCTCCTGTATCGTGGAGGCAGTTTACAAACACAAATTGCACAAGGACAAACATCCAGACCCGGAACAATTATTTGTAAGCCATACAAATACTTGTTCCGTGCGGGATTCGAACCCGCGCCCCCCAGAGCAGCAACTCATTGCTAAGCCACTGCGCCACGGAGCCGTCAAGTTTGTTTTTACTTTTTGTTATAAGTTATAATTATGTACTGCAATAAACAAACTCTTACCTCTAGACATGAAAAAGTGATCCGGATAAAGCAATTTGAAACTAAACAATGTGAAGATACACTCCACACTGAATGAACCTCGATCAACAAAGTCGCCGTTGAACAGGTAAGGGTTAGATTTTGATGGTAGGCCGTTGAGTTTGAATATGTTCATTAGGTCATAGAACTGACCATGAATATCGCCACATACAGTAAACTTCTGGTCATCCGGTACTTTAATATCAACTAGTGTCGGTTGTTTTTGTAGGTATGCCTTTACATCTATAAGGATCTGTAATAAAATGGCTTGATTAGGAATTAAACCATAGTAAATCGATACATAATTTTTTTTTGTCATTTTTTAAATGTTAAATTAATAATGTTCAAAATTAACTTATTTAATTTCCAAACTTTAAATGAATCAAGAAAGTGTCTCACACATATATAAGCACGCACACGTGTACGCACACCCGCATATACACACACACATACACAAACTAAAAGGTATACTTGTATACACACATATAATATATAAGTATCTTCATCATCATCACAGCGTATCAAAGTCCACTGCTTAGGCCACCTTCATAGATTGCCTCATAGGGAGGATATTTGCCATAGTTAGTTAGTTATCGTGCTATCGGTCAGTATTTGAATGAATGGGTCCATACTTCATTCAAATACTGACCGATAGCACGGCAGTTCTATAAGCTCTGCCATCAGTGCCTAAATGATATTAATACAACCATCCAGATCTCTAGACCTAGGTAACAATGCAGTTGACGAGCTTACCAGAAGAGGATCGGCTCTAAATACCATAGTGCCGGAACTAATTAAACCAATTCTGTTTTAGTATGTTCGTTAACTGGTACTTTAAAAATATACTAATCAACTCGCTGAGCTTTGGAATGATCAAGAAGATAGCAGGCAAGCTAAGAAGGCCTTGTCCTGTATTAATGGTTGTATATCCAAATACATGCTAATGAAACTAAACAGATTACGATGGCAACAAGTGATATTACTTTTTATTTGTTCTTTTTCTTCACCCATGTGTACAGACAGTCCACTGTGCAGGGCATGTATGAGAGAGGAAAAAAGGTGGCCCACATGCTACTGGTGTGGCGAGGAGGTTGTTGGCAACATAAAAGATTGGTGGATTTTTTCGAGATTTCTTCACTCGAATAATTACAATATCTTATTGTCTTCATGCAAAATACGCTATATATATGTCTAGACACAACATCATGTCTAGATATATCTAGTGATGATGTTGCCGAAAAGAGCACATTCAACTAAACTTTGCCAACTTTATTGTTACATTTGGCAGGTGGGTTGGCAACCATTCTTTTTATTTTCTAGTTGTTATTAGGAAGACTGCTGCCCATCTCTATTGGGTTCTTACCCTTTGTCGCCTCTTACGACACCCACAGGAAGATGGGACCACATCCGGAGTAGTGGATATTCTTACACTACATCTACTCCATAAATATAAGTACTTTCACATTTAATTTGTTATAGTTTTTCTGTCAATGTAAAATATAAAATACCTTATAAGCATATTTTTTATGTAACTGTTTTTCTTGTTTATAGTATTCCATTAGCTCAGTAACAAACTTGAGTGTTACTTTGCCATCTTCTAATGCTGGTCCCTCATATTCGTCTTCTATTGCTGTTAAGAAATTGAGATAAGTTAATACATAAAACTTATAATGATCAACTTTCAAGTTAAGAAGATTTTGTATTAATCTTGCTTAGTAGAATTCCTACAGTAGTAGATCGCGAACTCAAAAAGGCCGTGGGTTTGAACCAGCGATTCAAACTCAATCCCTCCTTACATAAGCAATTTAAGCTTACCAGGAATGGTTAAAGGGAATATTAGTAATGTTTAAATTAGTTATTTTACTTTCATCATCAATTTTATTTTGGTAGATCTTACATTCATGATCAAAACACATACAAATTGTTTATGCAATATTTATAAAACTCTCACATTGTTGGTTTTAAGTTTTGGATTTTAAATTTAGAAATGTTTCAGACACTGAATTCAAGCCAACTTTGATCTTATTTTTGTCTACACAAATAAGTGTGACAATCAAGTACACAGCTTACCCAATAATAATTAGTAGATGGATGCTGTGACCCATTATAAACATTTACGTCTATACCCAATTAAGAATAAATTTAGGTACATTTTCACCCCTGAAGACTAAGATGGAATGCTCATCATCTCATCACCAATAATCTACTTCATATCACCATCATATGCTTTTTTATGTCAAACTACACTTAGATCTAGTTAACCCATTCACTGTGCAGAAATAATAACATTTGTAATGTTTCTACAGTATGTTGTATAAATTACGTGTCACATAGAAAAAGTTGACTTTTCTTTATTTATTAAAATAATGTATATTTGTTACAATGTCATTATTTCTACAGGATAGATATTAAATAATCATGTGATGCTAAAATTCACATAAGTACGATTTACATATAATACACTTACTCATAGCGTCCAGATTAATGGAGTCAGCTATATTAACCTCCTTCTTATCTACCGATATTGCTTTCTCGAATGCAATCTTTTTTACAATTTTATTGCACTCATTATATTTCATCTTCGCATCCTGGTCATTTGGCCTAGCTTTGGTTACCTGAAAAAAATATTTCGATTAGGGATTTACATCCACTACAATCTATGATTTATGCCCAAAACTTAATTCTAAGAAATAAATAATAAATAATGCATTTATTTCAGTAATCTTGTTAACATGTTACTAAGACTTCCCAGTGAGTAGAGGATACTCCTGTTGGAAATGACCCACTACTGCCCTTAAGGATTACAAAAAGTAAGATTACAAAAAGTTTAACCTCTAGAGAATTTGTAATTAGTACGCATATATTAAAGAGTGTGTGAATGTGGGTGTAGGAGTGTTGTTGTATGTATGATGTGGGGGTGTATGTGTTGGTGGATGAAGAAAATATAAGTAAGAAGACTAGTTGTGTTACAAAAAAAAATGAAAGGTTGATGAAAAGAAATGGTGTTTAAAAATTAAAACTGTGAGAATATCTGTGCATTTAATTATTTCACTATGTACTTAAATTATAAAACTACAACCATATTTTAATATGGTTATAGTTTTATGATCACGTCATAGTAATTTTTTTCAGTACAGACCATTTAATGATAAAGTGAAAAAATAGAAAAAAATTGTTAAGACCCGTAATTTTTTACTGTAAATACTTTTTGTACTTTTGTGATTGTATTGGCTTATATCTCAAGACCTGTTCATTTTAGGCTATACATATGGGGGATCAAATTTGTAGCATTTTGACTTCCCTATCATACCCTGCCAGGAAGTTGTCGAGTTTCCAGTAACGTTGTATAATATGGTTTTTAAGATGGAGTAAATTTATTAGATTTTTGTGTTACCTTGTAATTATCACTTACCTAATATTTTCAAATACTTACATAATACCATATTAATAACTTAAGTACAATAACGCATAGGCGTCAATCTTGGCGCATCACTATTCAACCACCCTCAACTATGTATCATTATCTATAGAACATCTGGCTACACTTGGCATAATAGGCATTGAGCAATACGCACATATACCTTGCTTATTTGTACTCTAAGCTCTGAACACTCTTATCTATTGTTTTAAGGGGTCCCTTCTAAATATAACTATACTCTTTGGCAGGGTCTATAACTTTTACACGTAGATCACCTTACAGATACTCTGGAAGATGAAAGGTTAAGTGTATAGTATTTATAGTGATTGTGATACTTACATATTCAAAATCCTTAAGGGCTAATTTGTACTTTCCTAATGACATATGAGCAGCCGCCCGCCTATAATAAGCCTTAGTGTAAGACTTATCAAGGTCTATTGCTTTGGATGCGTCACCGAGTGCATATCCAAAGTTTTCCAACCTTAAATTCGCTATGCTCCTGTTTGCATAATAAACTGCATTATTCGGGTTCTTCTCAATTGCTTTTGAGTACAATTCTATAGCATCGTCGTAATGTTGCTCTGGAAAATTGAGGTTAGGTATATCATACTTTTGTTTTTTATAGTATGTTAAGATATCAGGAGCAATCATAATGTATATCGTAAGTCAGTTAAACGTTTATGATACTTTATATATTAACGAGCGTTATTCTTACTTTTAAAGAGTTCATTTGCTTCGTTTTTCAGTTTTTCTGCTGCCTCTATATCTTCTTGAGAGACTGGCCCGGTTACCTCAGCGTTTGTAGCCATATTTCTTGAGTTAAATAAATGATAAAATTAAAGTGATTTAAAATTATTTATTGTAATAATCATTGAGAGTAACGTGATTTTCTCACAAACATAGAAAAATGCAACCCGTAATTCATGAAAATTCAAGTGACAGAATGATGAATGAATGACTTTGTGAATGACTATAATTTTTTTTTAAATTTATGACTTGACCAAGGATATAGAGTCTTTCAGTCAATATTAAAATTTCAGTCTGGTTACATTGTGAAGTTTTTAGAAGATTTTGACCACAGATAGCCCAGTGGATCGTCAAAGATAGTAGTATTTCAAGTTACTGAAATGGATTAAAAAATTTAAGATTTTTATTACCATCGATGCACTATTTTACGTGGTAGAGCAATGCTGCAGCTATATTAATAGTATGGTTGTAGCACGAATGGGTCGGCTCAATCGGGGAAGGACCACACTCTCACACAATACCAGCATAAAATATCAGCTTAATGCTGCTGTGTTTCGTATGGTGCGTGTAGAGAACCGGAACTTTTTTTACTGGAAAAGGGGAATTCATCTTAGTCCTCACGGCTGACAACGCATCTGCATTTTAATTCGCAAACGAAGATAGATGTAGATGTCTATGGGCCACAGCAACCACATACCATCAGGTGAACTGTGTGCTCGTTTGTCACCCTTATTTTATATATATATAAATAAACTATTAACATCGTTTCCTCTAGTTAACATGCCAAGACATTCAATACACAAACTGTCATCCCTAAAATATATCAAAATTCAATTTAAACCGAGTAATAATCTATTGGTGATCAAGTTAACGCTAAAACTCCTACCTATGTGAATAACTAATAAAGATAATGGTAGAGTAAACAAAAGCAAGCTATACTTAAGTAAAATGGATTTTCTTCGCAGATAGGTTAGGCTTTGTGGAGAGTAGAGTCTGTTCACTAAAAAAAGGTTTTTGCGAAAAGAAACTGATATTTTGATTTCAAAATAATTCCCTGTAACTATGGCATAAGAAATGGTAAATCATAAAGAAATAGGAAAGCTACTGAAATTTTTAGAATTAGTTTTCCTCAGTGCAGTACCTATTTATGAAAATGTAGATTATGATAAGCATATAGATTATAATAATATTTAATGTTAATAAATATAGATCATAGACTTAGAATATACTGGCGTATAGATCAACATAGCGTGCAAGGGAGAAGAAAATTCCTTATGGCAAAAATGCAAGATAGAAAAGGATATCAAATCTCATGACTCTGTAACGGCACAAGTCGGGACGCAAGAAATAAGCTCCTAGATATTTTGTAATTTTTAGAGTGTAATAGTGGTTCTTTTTAAAAAGTAACCTTTATTATAATCCTGATAATTGTACATTTTGTAGGTAAAGTATTAAGAAGTCGGCAACGTTTTGACGCTTTTGATTTTGGTTAAAAATGTTATATACTGTTTAAAATATAGAATGTTTTCAACTCTTTTGTTAATTTTGATATTTTGTATAGAAAAAAGTCACGTTGTTGATAATTTGTATGAATTTAGTAAATACATTTTTATACAAAATATTTTACATGTACGCTAGGGATTGACTTCCTGTGTGGGATAGTTCCTACACTCTTTGGGATTAAGTTAAGTCAAACTATATCAAAATTAATGGCGATATTTACCTTGAATGTTTATATTGAATCGATAGACTTGCCCACGCAACAAGAAAATAAATCCTCGGTTTGCGATTTATAAATGTAATTTTATTTTTCCGTTTGTCAAACAGATTCCTTCCGGATTATTTACTAAGAAAAAATGGTTATGGTTAATTGGAGGGGTTGGTTGCAATCCAAAGAAAACTTAACAATTTGCAGCAAACATTTACTTGAGAAGTATAAAAGAAAAAGTAGAATAAAAACATTTTTTTTAAAAGGAGTCATTTCTATATTGTTTGTACCCATAAGTGTAATATTGTTATAATAAGATTTCAAAAATTTAAGTTTTAACACTTTAGATTAAAATAGAGACTACAGATACAGATTTTTATACATTATAAAACTGTAGTACAGTCTGTCAAGAAACCCATGAAAAAAAGGAGGGTGCCACTATCTTTAAGTAACAAAATTATAACTGCATCTAACAAAATTAAAATGACCTGGAGAATAATAAATAGTGAAACGGGCAAGGTCAAACCGCGCAATTCAGATTTTCAATTGAATATTAACAATAATTTAACTCGATCTGATCAAGAAGTTGCTTTGGCTTTTGAGAAACATTTTACTGATGTTCGTTTTTTGACAACTAAATCATTAAACTCTTCTCCTACTGTCGCCGAATCATTGCTCAAACAAAATGTAAAGGCTTGTTCAAATACTTTTAAGTTCCATAGAGTACTGCCAAAACATATCGTTAAATATTTTAAAACCATTGATGTTAAGAAAACGGCAGATTTATGGGGGATTTCCGTTAAAGTTATTTTATCTATATTAGATATAATAGCACCTTATCTAGCCACTAAATTTAATACGAGCGTCGAATCTGGTGTGTTTCCTGATTTAATGAAACATAGTAAAGTCATACCTTTATTTAAATCTGAATGTACATTAGACCCCGCCAATTTTAGACCAATTTCTGTACTACCAACATTTAGTAAAATTTTTGAAAAAATAATTTTAGATCAGATGTTAAGTTTCTTTAATATTAATAAATTGCTACATAGAAATCAATTCGGTTTTACAAGGGGTCGCTCGACAACTGACGCTGGAGTTGAGCTTATTAAACATATTTTTTGTGCATGGGAGAAATCAAAGGATGCTTTGGGTATATTTTGTGACCTTTCCAAGGCCTTCGACTGCGTTCACCATGAGATATTAATCAGGAAGCTACAGTACTATGGTGTCAAGAACACAGCGCTTAAACTTATTATTTCATATTTAAGTAATAGAATGCAGAAAGTTATTATCAATGGTAAAAGTTGTTCCGGCTCACCTGTACTAATGGGTGTCCCACAGGGCTCGATTCTCGGTCCATTCCTATTTCTAGTGTACATTAATGACTTACCTTCTCTTGTAGAGGATAATCATGATACAGTATTATTTGCTGATGATACTTCCTTGATTTTTAAACTTAAACGTCAATCATTTAAATGTGACGAAGTGAATAATGCTATATAAAAATTAGTGCATTGGTTTAACGTTAATAATCTACATTTAAACGGAAATAAAACTAAATGTATTAAATTTATAACAACGAATGTTAAAAATCTGAGTACCAATGTGTTTTTAAATGGGGAAGAACTGAGCCCTGTTGAATCCACTGTTTTTCTTGGCATCACTCTCGACGCAAAGCTTCAGTGGGGCCCCCATATATCCAAACGAGCAAGCAGACTAAGTTCTGCAGCCTATGCTGTAAAAAAGATTAGAGGTCTCACTAGTGTAGAGACAGCTAGATTAGTTTATTTCAGTTATTTCCATAGCATAATGTCTTATGGGATTTTACTATGGGGAAATGCGGCTGATTCAGAAACTATTTTTGTTTTACAGAAGAGGGCCATTAGAGCTATTTACAACCTAAAACCGAGAGAGTCTCTTAGAGATAAATTTAAAGAAGTAAATATATTAACTTTGGCCTCTCAGTATATTTACGAAAATTTAATGTATGTTCACAAAAACAAAGGTAGTTTTAGTAAAAAAAGTGATATACATTCTGTAAACACTAGGAACAAACACAAGCTAGTGATACCAGTTTCTCGACTCCACAGAGTCAGTAATTCATTCTTGGGGCAATGTATAGGCTATTACAACAAGGTCCCGGAAAGTGTACAGGCTCTCTCTATTAGCAAGTTTAAATGTTTTGTTAAGTTGAAACTGTATAAAAAGGGTTATTATAGTATATATGAATACATGGTTGATAATAACCCCTGGGAATGAGGTGATCGCTTCCAAGCTGTTTCTAAAATAAATTTTGTAGTTATATAGTTTGTACAACCATTGTTGTAAAATTTGCTTTAAAAAAAATCCCGCTGGGTTTCTTGCTGGTTCTTCCCAGGACAGAGGTTTTTTTTCGAACCAGTGGTAAAGTAAAAAATGACTTTCAATAAGAATTACACATGTGATCTATATTGAATAAAAAATTATTCTATTCTATTCTATTCTATTTATACGGTATCCCTATAGATTTCAACCGAAAAGTTTTGATACTTTATTATTATTTTATAAACTGATTTATTATTATGGCCCCTTCACTGTCATATTTTTTTTGAGTACATGCTTTTATTGATATACGTAACCCTTGACACTTGTAAACCCCAGCAACAGTCATCATCATCATCATTACAGCCCTTCACAAGTCCACTGCTGAACATAGGCCTCCCCCAAGGAATGCCACAAAGCACGGTCCTGAGCCACCTGCATCCATCGACTTCCTGCATATCTTACCAGGTCGCCACTCCATCTAGTAGGGGGACGACCTACACTTCGTCCGCCGGTACGAGGCCGCCACGCGAGAACCTTTTTTCCCCATCGGTTGTCGGTTCTTCGAGCTATATGGCCAGCCCATTGCCAATTCAGCTTACTAATCCTTTGGGCTATGTCGGTCACTTTGGTTCTACTGCGGATATCCTCATTTTTAACTTAACGCGCAGAGAAACTCCAAGCATAGTCCTCTCCATAGCTCGCTGAGTGACCTTGAGCTTCCTCATCCGGCCAGCAGTGAAAGACCACGTCTCAATTCCATAGGTCATCACTGGCAGCACGCACTGGTTGTACAGTCTCGTTTTCAAGTTTTGAGGTATACCTGACGAGAAGATGTGCCGTAATTTCCCGAACGCTGCCCAACCGAGTTGAATCCGTCGATTGACCTCTCGGTCGAAGTTGGACTTACCTAGTCGGACTATTTGTCCCAGATATACATACTCGTCAGTCGAGTTTAGTGCTCCCAACAACTACTGGCATAGGTGTGACATGGACATTAAACATGATCTTTGTTTTGTCCATGTTCATCTTAAGACCTATCCGTTGGGA